AATTGAATATAAACAAGTTAGTCGAAATAGCAAATATGTGAGATACCAAGATGGATAGCATGTAGATGTGACCTGACAAAGATAAAAGCACAACAGTTAGGCAAAAATTAGTCGAAGAATAGACTTCACATTTCTCTTTTACCAGTCGTAGCTTATTGCTTAGACTGGCAAAAGTCACTCAAACTTTCGACTACCATGCAAGCGAAAAGTCTAAAATGTAACTAGCCGATGCCCTGACACTAAGAATTTTTATGAATAAGATAGCAAAAGAGTTCGCCAAATTGAAGCTAACTAGATTTGCCTGAATACATGACTAAATTGCGAAAACGAAGTCAAATTATGTTTAATTGTATAGTTATCTTCCATTTATAGTGAACGTATTTGGTAAAGACATACGAATTTCGATCCCACAAGAGTCATGTTGGAGCAGCTTTTGATACATTTCTTTGATTCAGATACATCATCGCGACACGGTAGCATCCATCTATTTTAACTCATTAGCTTTAATATTGTAGTAGGGATAACACACTTCTCTGTTAATCTCTATCATGTGACGGATAAATGCTTTGCACGTTTGCATCACGAGAAAGTTGCGAGAATAGGTTTATACTATTCTGTATTATAGTGTTTTTCTCCACTGAAGCTGATTAAATCATAGTTTGATTTGTAATTATTAATTTATCCATTACAAATTGTAGATGCACTCTGCTAGCTTTCCACTTTTAATATAATATATACTCGAAGCCTAATGCCTTTCATTAAAATACTTTTTTATTTTGATGACATTCTGATCTTCTATGCAACTCAGATTATGTTGAGATATTTACATGTGTAGCGTCTATAAGAAGTAGGCTTTTCGACACATTTGTTAAGGTTTATTAAAATACAAATCCGCTTTCAAAATCAAAGGGTTCAGAATTCTGAGTTTGAACACTTTAAGTACAAAATAAAATGCTTAATTTTACGTTATCAAAATCAACGAGGGTACATTTCTGGGAGTAAGGCGTCTGCCATATGAGTTACAAAAGATCAACATCGCTTTACTGGAGTAAGAGGACTTACTCCCTTAATTTAAAATTCACCACTAAGATAAATTATTTATTTGGTTTCCATTTATACAAACTTATAAACCTGTTACATTAAACTATGCGCACGAAGAAAGAAAGAAATTCAATTTATCAAAAAAATTTTCATACATTTTTTTTCAGAAAGTCACATAACACGAATATACTTTATTATCTTTGTAGCTTTGTCAAAGTTAACTCAGTCCAATAAGCTTACTATGTGCTCCGCATTGCACTCTACACCATTTATTTAAATTTTAAGACTTATTCAAATGTCTTGTATAAAGATATGACTTTTCTCTTTATTAAAGTTTCCGGGGATGGCGGTAGCCATAGCGTTTTTATGCAAGCCAAGTCAGAGCTCTGTCTGTTCATTCAAGTCCGACAAATCCACCCCAGATATAATTAGATGCCTTCGTTCTCGTATCAGCAGAATGCTAATGAATAATCGGGCATATGTGATCTTTGTTATGACCCCAATTTCAGTTATCCTAGGGTCACAGTTTTAGGTAGGCAAATTTATGCGTGGTTTTTTATAAATAAAAGATTAGCCTTGAATAGTTATTTAAGAAAATGACACATTTCAAATTTTGCTTAATTTTATCAATCTGTGTTAGAGCATCGTGGGTATATTATCGTCTTCAAAGCTACAACACCTTGCTGGTGCACTTTTACATGTGAATCAACAGGGAAAAATGAAATCAGATGCAAAGGAGATACTGATAAATTTGTGATATAATCGAAGTTATTTTTAAAGCACATTCTTGTTTCATGTGCAAAATATTTATCTTCCTGATACCCATATGCTTAAATTTGTATTTTTGTTAACCGTAACTATAAATAAATTTCTGTTAACCATAACTATAAATAAATTTTTGTTTATCCAACTAGCTTAAACTTGTCTATCCATAATAAATCTCGTCACACTTCTAATCCCCCAGGTCTGCTATATCTCTTCCCTTAATATTTAACCTTTTTATCCAGATTCCCCTTACTCTCCGTTAGATAATCTTCACTTGATTAATTTTGCTCTATTATTGCACCCAATTTTCGTTGTATTCATAAATTATTGCTTGTCCAAAGCAGGAGCCTTATCATACTCATAGCTCCTTTGAGTATATCTCTCTATGAACCATCTCCTAAAGTGCTTTTTCGTCATTAAGATTAATGGCTCGTTTTATTACTAAATTTTATCGTATATACGGAACCTTTTGGTTATTTGTCGACTACCAATCCAGCCATTCAAAAGTGACATAATAAGGGCAGGTGCACGAATGCGAGATCCTTCCATATTTTCTCTTCGGTTTGTATGAATCGTATAGTACTTGAGACGGAAAAATATTTATTATTCCAGGGTTATTTTCCGTATAAGGTACCTCTTATTTTAGGTCACTCATTTAATCATGCAAATATAGTTCATAATCTAGTTTTTCCACTTTTATTAGTTCGCTCGGTCTAATAATTTTTATATCATTTGGATTAAATTTATATCCTTGTGAACATTTGTCGAGGACTTCTCTTTTATTATTAAAATTACCTTTAAGTATGTTTTTTTACCTGGCATATCTCGATCAAAATGCAACTTGCACGTTTCCCCATTATTTTCAAGTATGTCTTCTCTATATTTTAGCTCTTTGGTTCCGATGACTCACATCACTCTAAATAATGGGATTAAAATGCCGGTTCTTGGTCTTGGCACTTTTCAGGTATTTTATGTGTAAATTATATATATAATTAACGATGTTGGTTAATACTCCTCCTTTAGTCGGAACCAGACCAGGTAGTAAGAGCTGTTGAGATTGCTATTGACGCGGGCTACCGGCACATAGACACCGCATTTCTCTACTGCAACGAAAAAGAAATTGGGATGGCAGTTAACAACAAAATAAACGAAGGAGTTTTAAAGAGAGAGGATATCTTCATAACATCCAAGGTGTTACAATAAAGCACTGCATTTTAAAAATTTCTCAACGCCATTAACTAAATTTCGTTTCAGTTATGGATTACGCATTCACGTCCAGAG